TTGAGGCGTTGTTTGTGTTTCTTGCACTTCTATTTCCTGAAAGTTGACGGGATCAGTGGGATTGAATTGCTGGTATACACCGAGGAGTTTGTAACTTCACGGAGAGTTTTTCCATGAGCACTATGTTGGGTAGTATTATAGAAAATACAAATTTTAATAACTGGTCTTTCCAATTAACATTTTGTAGTTGCAATTCTTCAATCCACAGCATTTTTGTAAATCCACGTTCAACCATTTGATTTAGACGTTCAACTTGCCCTTGGGACATTGGATGCCTTGGATGGCCATATCGAATTGTAATCACAAGTGTTTCGCAAATACATTTAGTAACATTTGCAGTAAATTCTTTATCATTGTCGGATTGCAAGATGGATAGTGCATCCCATTGAGAAAATAAAGAAATCAAAGCTTCACCAACGACATTAGCTTCTTTAGATTTAATTGAAATAGCCCACAAAAATTTCAAAAAGATACAAACTACTGTAAGAAGCCAAGAAAACCCATCGTTCATATCTTTGTATGCTGTGAAATCTACGAGGTCCATTTGAAGATATTCCATTAGACCATAACTTACAACTAGTATCAGATTATTTTTTTTTTAATCAAGGTAGTTCGATTACAGGTGTTACAGTTTCGAACATACTCACAAACTTCCTTTTTTGTAATGCCAATATGATGCGCTATAATTTTTTTATGACAATCGTTCGCATTAATATGGCAATCATTGTCGTGAAATTGTTTAAGCAAAGATTGACGAAACTCTAAGTCCCACACAGGAACAAAATGACGAAGTGGTTGATCCTTAATTTGTGTATAAAGATGGCCATTTTCTAGACGCCACAGTTTCATTTTGCGCTTAAAGTTCTATTGGTTTTTTGTGGTTATTGATATAGGTATGGTTCTGCTACAAAGGAAGATGACGATATCCTGATATGCTTCAGGTGTTTGCAGAAAATCAGCTTTGTAAACCATTGTACGATTTTTTGTTTGTAAAAAATAAAAAAATCTTTTTTTTTTTTATAAGAAAAAAGATTTTTTTTCTCTTTTTTATCATATTTATAATAACGAAATATATCAGTACAAACGTAGTGGATAATTACAAAATATATCAGTACATATGTAGTGGATATATCATTAATAAAAGACATAATAATGTCGAAAGTATGGGCTCTTCAAGCCATATTATATAGATAATGCAAGGGTGAACATTTAGCATCGCTTCATTATATCATATTGAAAATGTGTAAGTAAAATTGTATAGTTTTTAAATTTTGGAATCATCTGTCTTTTTTATTTAAAAAAGAAGGTTAGAGATAAGCCAAATTTGACTTTCTATTATTTGAAGAAAAGGTTAAAGATAAACCAAATTTGCCTATAATGGGCTATTTTAAGGAACAGGTTCTATCTAAAAGGTGAAAAGCCGTACCCATACTGTTCTTTACGCCTATATTTAGAAATGTACTATATAAGCTCCTATTGTTCGATATAGAAAGATTCTTATAGTTATATTAACAGTTATATGCATACTGATCGATATATACCCAATTGAACCCGCTTGTCTTAATGTGTTCAAGTATGGAAGTTTTTCATAAACAGCAGAAGAAAAAAAGAGATCAGTAAAAAAGCTAATTTAAAAAAAAAAAAAAGCAAATCCAAAAAAAAAAGCGAATCTGAAAAAAAAAAGCGAAACCATTTTTTTTCTTTGGATTCACTTTTTTTAAAAAAAACCAACCTGAAATTCAAAAAGAGCGAATCCAAAAAAAAAAAAAAAAAAAAAAAAAAAAAAAAAAAATATTTTTTTTAAAAAAAAAAAAAAAAAAAAAAAAAAAAAACAAAAGTATCTCTCAAAAAAAAAAAACAAAAGTGTTTTCTTTAAAAAAAAAAAAAAAAAACTGAATTTACTTTTTATTTTTTGTTAACACAATTTAAATATAAAATTTAAAATACTTATTCGATTAGCATAAATTTAAATATATCCTATTTAGTGATTAGCAGTTTTCAAATATAACCTTT